AACCTCTCCCCCAAACCCACTTCCCGACTTCTTTCCCCATATGCCCATATGTGTGGTGCCCTGGGTACCCCACAGCACAGGCCTGTGCCCCTGCACAGCTATGTGTGTGCACACACCAGCGTGATGTGAAACAATAAAAGGATGATTCTGCATTTGCTCTTGCCGTGCCTCATTTTTATTCCTACATTATCTTTCTCCTACTCTGTCCTCAACTCCTGGGTTCCTGAGGCCTCAGTATCTACAGACCTTGTTCAAATTTGCCCCTTATGCCTCTAATGTCCTTTATGGAAAAACACATTTTCATTGCTATAGGATCCAATTCATTACTCTCCAGGCTTTATTTGTCTTGCCTGAAGTCGACATGTTTCAAGAGTGCTTTGTTTCTGTAGAATGTCTGATTTGTGCTTGTCTAATGTTTCTTCTTGCCTGGATTTGGTTATGCCTGTGTGCAGGGACCCTCGCTGATCCTTGCTGCCTGGTGCTAATTGGGCTCCCCTTCCCTTCCATATTGCGCTGGTTTGGGATCCCTGTGTGGGGCTGAGACCCCACAATCATAAAGAGAGGGGGCTCCACTGCCTTAATATCCCTCCAACTTCCCAGCGAGTAACTGCATGAGGGTGCTCACCCTCTCTGCGTCTCCTCCCCTCTCACCTCCCAGTCCCCTGTCCTCAATATTTCATATCAGCTACACTTCCACTGGTCTTTCAAGCAAATTGCTCTGCAATTTAGCTGCAAGTCTGGTCGAGAGTTAGGAGCAAGCAGACGCAGCTTCCGGCCACTCTGCAGGCCATCTGGGAATCCCCCCACTGTTTTTTTCTTTTAATTAATAACTTAAGGGAGAGACTTTTATAACTTTAATATTTATATAACTATTTAAACACTTATAGCTTATTGATTATTTATTCTCCTTCTGGCTAATCTCTTATATCTAAATTTCTGCAATGAACATTATTGTACACGTTTCTCTCCTGTACGTATTTTTACTTTCTTAAGCTAAACTCTTAGAAAAATTATTGTGTACAAGGATATATTCATTTTAAATTTAAATTGATTATACACCAGTAAGTACAAAATGCCACCCAGAATAATTTTTTCAATTTATATTGCCACCCCAAATAAAACTGTGTATTACCATACATTCTCACACATCTTGAGCTTTGCTAGTTATTATAAGTATTGTTATTTTGAAACAAACAAAAACATGTATCTGGTAAACTACATATCAAAATACAAGCTATTTCTTCATTGATTTGTTTGGAGTTTTTTTTTTAATGTTGATAACATTGAACATATCACCAAATTTTATGTGTGTGTGTGTGTGTGTGTGCGTGAGAGAGAGAGAGAGAGAGAGAGAGAGAGAGAGAGAGAGAGAGGATGGCTACCCTTGCCCTTGTTCATTAGATTTCTTTGGTATTCTTATTTACATTTTAATTTATAACATATATTTTTATATTAGGGACATTAATTCCATACCTGGCACATGTGTTGTATTTTTCTCCAGTTGATTATTTGTCTTTGTGCCTTATATGGGGTATAGTTTGCCATATAAAATTAAAATTCTATATAATTTATCTAACTTTTCCTTTATATATTATAGGATTTGTGCCATTTTTATTATTACTGGTTTTTACTTAATAAGCAATTACCACTTCTATATTCTGTTTCTTATAGAGTAGTATTTTATCATTTATGATTTAAAAGAAAGATTTGCAGGGAGAAAAAGCACCCTAAAATTTGTTAATATTCTAGTTCATAGCTCAGAAGGAAGGAGAGAGGAAAGACACAGGAAAATAAATTCAGTCTGAATTATTTCCCATAATATTTCAGCAGTGCGCCCTTTGGTTCCTTGCAAAGATGTCAAACTGATGATGTAAGAGACCCTTTGAATGACTAGGTGACTTCAGAAAACCTTTGCTAGTAAAAAAAAAAAAAAATATTTCTTGAATGGTCCCCAAACCATTGATAACCAATAACTAAGTCCAAAGGGTCAGTCCAACATCCATTTTAAATAAAAATGTGTGAACGATCTCAGTCCAAATGCTTCAGTTATAACCACACTGCTAATTCATCACTTAAATCCAAGCACATTGATAGTTTGGCGCTGCCCTGCCTGGAGGCAGAGGTGTGGACCAGATGACCTCTTCACCCCATCATTCTAGGGATGGGAAGCTGAGCTCCTGTGCGCGCCTAGGCATGGATATCCTGGCCACACTCTCTTAGGAACCCATAGCAACAACCTGAGCTAATGCCATGCCCTGCTGAGAGCGTGGCAGAGCTCCCTCTGCAGGGCGATGTGGCCCTCACACCTCTCTCTGTGTCTGTCTCCGAGTGTGATCCCCTGAGGAGGATGACATAGGTCATAGGAATAACTATTTGTAAACTGTACAGTGGATGCTAATGTAGTGAAAGGATTTTTAAAAATCTATTAACCACCCATGTGTGCAAAGCCTTTTCCTAGTTGCTGATGGGGAATAAGAATAGGGCACAAGTTGTGCTGTGAAAGGGTTTATGAAAATCTCATTTGTAAGATATGTCACATAAAGGATAATGGAGCAAGTGGCACTTGAACGGCATCGTCTCAGAAAGGAAATATCATGGAATAAAGCACAGGAGTAGGGTAGGGAGAGACATGTTTACAGTAGAGACAGAATACCAGTTCTTCTTGGGAAGCAATATAGAAATTGGGTAAGTTTTACAAAGTCTCGTATTTGTACATTGGTAGTTGTATGAATATTTCCCAGAGCGTTGGAAGTCAGTCAAAAATGCTGGCCTTGATCCTGAACACACTGTGGAGCCCTGGGTGTGGCTTCCTAAATATCCAGAGAAATTTAAAGGCTTCTGTGAGTCTTAGTTCAAAGCAGATTATCATCACCTTAAAGGTCATGGGTAATTACTTCTGTAGTGAGATGGTGAAGAGAGAACATGTTTGGATCCCAGTGAAGGTAAGACTCAAGGAGAAACCACGACAGATGGGAATGAATCAGTGGAGTTTCAGGGAAGGCCAGGAACCTTTAGCTATCAGATGCTGAAAATAATAGATAAGATGGATTATATATCTATATCTATCTACACACACACACACACACACACACACACACACATATATATATCTGTGTCTATATAATAATTATATACAACTATACAAACATATATATGTGTGTGTATATATATATATATACGATTTGCTAAACAGTCAAAAATACCAATAGTCATGTGTACACATATATTTCATGAGATATTGGTTATCCTTGCCCATTATAACCCACATGACGCATTATTATTGTGTCATGTGTACTTCATCTCAGGCTCTGGAGAATTATTTTGTACGCTTCTGGAGGGAGGACTTTCTTCTCATAAATCCCCCTAGGTCAAATTTGCCTTCATTTAATTATTTCCTCATTTAAAAATAACGCTGCCCTCTAGACATGGAAGGAGCATCTATCTGCTACATACCAAATTAACACTAGTCTTAATATCTGAAAATGCTCAAATACAAAAATCCTTCAGGATCCCTGTGCCCATGGAGGAACACAGCAGTGACGCTAGAGATTCCTACGGAATCCCAAATGCCACTGTTCTATAAGGTCATCCAACCTGCTTGACCCAGAGGCTCATTTCCACAGAGTCCTCCCCACCATGTGCCCAGGCTTGGCCCTCTAACAGTCTCTTCTCCTTTTTGCTTCTCATCCACAGGCTCACCCTCTTCCCCCCTTCCTCTTTCCCAAGAGCCTTGGGAAACAAATTCTTCTACTGTGCAAGGCAATGCCAAATTTCTCTCTAGTTCCTCTATAGCAGGGGTCCTCAAACTACGGCCCGCGGGCCACATGCAAATACAAATATTGTATGTGTTCCCATTTTGTTTTTTTACGTCAAAATAAGATATGTGCAGTATGCATAGGAATTTGTTTATAGATTTTTTTTTTAAACTATAGTCCGGCCCTCCAATAGTCTGAGGGACAGTGAACTGGCCCCCTGTTTAAAAAGTTTGAGGACCCCTGCTCTATAGAGATATTGCTATATGAAAATGTACAAAAGACGCAATGCCAGTGAGTTTTTGTTGATTCTTACAGATTTTCTACACAGATGATTATGGCATCTGTGAACAACAGCAGTTTACTCCCTCCTTCCCAGTCTGTATGCACTTAATTTATTTTTCTTGTCTTCTTGTATTAGCTAGAACGTCCAACACCATATTGAAAAGGAGTGGTGAGAGGGGACATTCTTGACTTGTTCCTGATCTTAGAAAGAAAGCTTCGAATTTTTCACCAATTTTCTATCCTCCCATATTTTTAATGGTGTTTTCTACCATTTCAAATTTAATTGTTAGCATTTAATGACATAGATTATACATATCCACATTTTCCTCTATATATTATGGATGTTGTGTTATTCTTAAAACTTTCTCCAAATAATTGTTGCCACCAAATACATTTTTAGGTGTTGATTGCATTTGTAGTTATATGACTGCATAAATTTGACAAAAGTCATTGAATTGAATATTGAAAATTAGTGAATTTTATTGCATATAAATATACAACAATAAAAGTGATTTTAAAATTTTAAAAAAGAAGGATTTATTCACATATGTGTAGGTGTGTAGTGTATGTACACACACATGCCCACATGCATGTTTGTTTGACTGAAGAAAGAATCAGATGGAGACTGATGAAGAGAAGGGTGTGGAATGGGGAGTGAGGAGATAATGGTGGGAAGAAGGAGGAGGATGTCTGTCTCCTGGCCACGCCTGAGGGACAGTTAGACATGTGAAGGGAACCAAAGTGTAAAGGAGCAATGTGTGCAATTATTGCTGCTCCAGGATTTTGGTTAAAAGGGAAAACAAAAACATTAAAGAAAAATGCAAACATAGAAAATCACAAATTTTTCTCTCCTGACTCTTAACCCTGTCCTCTGTCCACTGAGGCCTCTGCAGCCACCAGCAGGGGAAGAGGAGAATAGAACAGTGATGCCCAAAACAGGAAATGAAATCAGCCCAAACCAAGTTAGTGAGCACATTCTGTATTTATTTTTCAATTCAAGCATCAGAATACAACAACATGAGCTTCAAAGGGACATAGGATCTGTGCTCTGGGAATCCCAGGGCAGCCACAGATATGGGGAAGGAGGTCAGAAACCAAGTTTCAGAGAGAGGTTTTGGACTTCTGGATACCAGGGTAGAAGGAACTTCTAGAACAGAGTTCAAATTTTGCCAGGACCCCTCTGCCCTTATAGGAACTCAGGGGGAAATTGATGTCAGGATCTAGGTCAGCAGCAGCCTCCGGAGGACTGACTACTGCTCCCTCCGCAGCAGCTGGAGCCCCCTCCGGAGCCCCCTCCGCAGCAGCTGGAGCCCCCTCCGGAGCCCCCTCCGCAGCAGCTGGAGCCCCCTCCGGAGCCCCCTCCGCAGCAGCTGGAGCCCCCTGAGCTGCAGCAGTCAGACCTTCTGTGTCTGAGGCGGAGAGACCTGCGGGGCCTGTGGTGGCTCAGGCAGCAGCCCCCACCCCCAGAGCTACAGCAGCCCCCACCCCCAGAGCCACAGCAGCCCCCAGAGCTGACACTGCAGCAGGAAGAGACTGGAGGGCACTTGGGGGGACACTTAGGAGGGCATTTTGGGGTGCAGCACTTGGGAGGGCACTTGGGAGGGCACTTGGGAGTGCACTGCTGGCTCTGCTGGCAGGACATCTCGGGTAGGCAAGTGGGCGTTCAGGAGCTGAGGGAGAGTCAGACAGCAAGTCAGTCCCACAAAGAGACCACCCCCATCTCTTCTTGCTCTCTGAATATCGCTATAGCCTCCAGTAGTTTTACTCCGTTGAGTAGTTTTCCCATTACTCTTGCGTCATCTCTTTGGAACCTGAGCGTACCCTTGTAAGTCAAACATGAACTTCCATCTACTGCTCCAAGTAGTAACGTTAAGAACAAACAATATTACCAAACACATCCAAGAGTCTAAAGCCTTATCAGTGGTGATAGAAGTGAATCCAGCTATGCCCTCCAAATCGGAAGCAGTTTTACTTATCAGCCACTTTAAGGGAATATAATTCCTTCAAGGAAAAATGCAGTGATCATTCCCTCTTGTCATTATCTCCATGATGACTTTATGCTGTAAGGTCAGCATTGCAAGGGGTCTTGGTGATGACCCACCTCAATAAGCTCACGGTAAACCTCTTGACTGCTCAGCTCCCCCGTCTCAAACCAGAGCTCAAGTCTCTGCTCTCTACCCAAGTTGATGGGGTGGCCTGGTGGTTCTCAGGCCTGCTGTGTCCCGATCAACAAACTCCCAGAGCCATGGATGTGTGGCTTTAACAAGCCCAAAGGAGCCCGAGCTTCCTTACACAGCCCTGCTCCTCCTTTGTGGGCAAGGACAGGCCTGTGTTTTCAAAGCTGAGCTCCCTCAGGGCACCTGCCAGAGTGGAGCACAGTGTTCCTTGCTTTGGTGTCCCTTCCTGAGAGGCCCACTCTGCTGCAGATCACCTCGTTTCCTCTGGAGCCCAAGGGCACAGCCATCTAGCTTTTCTCTCTATGCCCCCAGTGGGTGCCAGACCACTTTCTGTACCCCTCCCCCTAACTTCCTGAGCCCCTTCCTCTGACACAGTGGCCTCCCCCTACCCAAGGTCCTGCCTATCTGCCCTCCTGCTCTGAGCCTCCCACTGTGGAAGGCCCTGCACCATTCCCAGTGGACACTCACCGGATACACAAGCAGCACAGGATCCGTCAGGAGGGAGTGGATGGAGGTGCACTGGTCTAGAGGCCCTTTTATCCTGGCCTTGGGCTCTGCCTCAGCAGGTGAGACAGAGCCTGGGCATGAGAGGACTGCTTCCCGCCACCCACATGGTCCTGTGACAGGTGATGACTGGCTGCTCCTTCCTGCCTCCCTCCATGAGGATCAGGGTACCCACCTTGGACTAGGAATAGGGCTGGTTAGAAACAGAAGTTGGCGGGGGGGGGGGGGGGGGATTTATTTTGATCTTCTGCCTCATCTCTCTGGGAAGTGCCAGCTTGGAGGCCTCTTAGCTCCTGTTTTTTTCCACCTCGGACCCCAATAGCAGCTGATATAAACTCATTGGCTCTTGGCAGCCTGTTTTGGACTATAATTCAGAGATGGCTTCACATTTCTCCACTTTAAGTTCAAGTCCAAATCACTCCACAAGGCTATCAGAGGCCATTGACTTTGATCTGCAGCCCAGGTATGCCCACTGTCTGTTCCGTATAGCCTTTAGGCTAAGAATGGCTTTATGTGTTTAAATGCTTGGGGAGAAATATCAAAAGGAGAATATTTTATAACACCTGAAAAGAATATTAAGTTCCAATTTCAGTGTGTTCATCTGTGCTCGTTTCTTTGTTATCTGTGGCTATTTTCACACTGTGTTGGCAGAGTTAAGTAGGTGGGACAGAGACCCTATGCCTCCCACAGCCTAAAATATTTACTCCTCAGCCCTTTATCCAAAAATGTGCTGACCCATGCTGCATCCCAGTACTTTTCGGAGCCTGGAGTCACACAGACCTAGGAGGCAATCCTGGTTCAGCCACCTGGTAGCTGTGTGTCCTGTGAAAGTTACTTAATTCATTTCTAATTTTGTTCGTGTGCTTGTTTCCTCTAGTATAAAAACGTGAATAGTGATCTCACGGGAGCATTGTGCCAGTCAGCAAGATAATATAAAGAGAGAGCCTATGAAATGGTGGACCCTCAAATGATGACGCCTCTAGACTCATAAATCACAGAAAAAGGGGTGTTATTTTTAATCAGAGCGTTTTTCAAAGGAGGGTAAGTCTGGGTTTTGTTTTGTTTTCTACAAATTAGTTACTTTATATTTCTATTGTAGGCCCTTTTGTTCTGTTAAACATCTTGATGTGTTTGACCATGAAAATATAGCCAAGAAGGAGTTTGTGGTGAGGGGCCGGAGGGCTCTGCATTGCACCACTTAATTAGACAAATCCGGGGCCAGTGGAGGGAACGCGCGACCTCACACATGGGCTTCCCAAAACACCCGGGGCCAGGGAAACGGGCAGTGAGGCAGTGCAGCAACCTCGAAGGGCTCTTTAAATCTCTTAAGGCAGTTTTGGATTATGTTCTTAAGTTTTTATTATTGTTTTCTCTGCTTGCACAATTTGTCTACTCCGATGCTTTCAGTAGATGTGTTACAGAAAAAACCGGACCAGAACCAAACAGCGCTCTGAGAGTTTGGAGTTACACTTTATTCACCGCAGCGGGCCTAGGGAAATGAATCCAAATCTAAGCAAAGCTACAAGCAGAACTTCCCTTTTTATAGAAGAGCCAGCCCTTTGTGTGCTTGCTGGCAGCGGCCTTAAAAACTATACAGTTCTATCCAATTAAAAAAATGCACCTGGCATGGCATTGGATGTATCTAGTCTCTGGCCTACAAGGTCAGAGAGCTAAGTTTATCTCCCCCACTATTCAAGCAGGCTAGAAAGCAAAGTTAGTTTTTCAGAATAAGAGGCCGTCCAAAGAATAGCAGAGAATTCCAAAAAGTAGTTTTACAGAATAGGGGTTTTCCTTCACAGATGAAGGGCTAGGGCAGGAGCTCACATTTGGTTCAGATTGGTGTACAGCACCACAGTGAGATTCTCCCAAAGTAAACTGATGAATTCAGTAGAAGAAGGCACATTGAAGCCTTAGGAACCCTGTGAAGAAAAAGCTTCTCTTTTCTGTCAGTGGCAGAAAAATTGGGGCAGAATCTAAAATTCCCCCGAGCCTAGAACAATAGAATAAATTAGCAAGTCATAAGGGGAAGAGCAAAGCCAGCTAACATGCAGTTGCAAATATAAATATGTTTGTGTATACGCATTTGGATGTGCAAATAATATAGACTACACGTGTGCATGTTTGCATAAACATACACACATTCTATAGTAATTGTGTGTGTGTGTGTGTGTGTGTGTGTGTGTGTGTGTGTGTGTGTGTGTAGGTACCTTGTTGTCTGTTTGTTTTCCACCTTCCTGGTTTTTTTTCCTCTATCTCATCCACATTAAGATTCTTCTAAAAATAACTACCTATGACCATTGAATAGGGTAAGTGTACATCCCCATTTACCAGGGACAGTTTTGGATTATGCCTTTTGTCCCAACATAAATCATCATAAACCTCCTTTTCTATCCCAACTGTGTTTCAGTTTGGATAATGTACACAGTCACGCTACCATTAAATAAAGTCTTCTCGAGGGCCTCCACTGATTCAGGACAAAATCTGAACTCCTTGCCCCAGCATTCAAATATCTATGCCGTATGAACTGGGTCTGTTCCTACAGGTTTCTATTTGCTCTCTTATGCCTCTGCTATGAGACTGAATACTTCTTGGGAGCAAGAGTCTGGATATGACATGCTTGCATGCCCTCATCAGCATCTAGAACACAGATATGCATATCGTCACATCACCAGCATTTCATAGCAGCTGAGAGATTGCAAATAGCTTTTCCATGTGACTTAGGCAATGGGATAAGAGTTTGACATTCAGACATGCACAGTAATAAGTGCTGGCCATAGCATCCAATAGAAATCTGCCTCGATATTACTCAGATGCGATGTTGGTCCTCGGGTTGTTCCAAAGGGCTTAGTTATGGAAGGAGAGGTCGGGATATTGATTCCCTGCCTCACACAGGTGGTACGACTCAGAAGCCCAGCTCACAGATTCCTAGGATGATGTGGCTGAGATGCTATCGGGTTATCCCTCTGTCTGCAGGCAAGGCAGCGCCCAACCATCAATTAATGTGACTTCAGGGTAGGTAACGAATCAGTAGCATGGTTGCAATACCATGAGGACTCCGTCCTGAGCCTTGGTTATTACATTGCAATTGATTTGGCAACATTTAATAGCAAGAAATGTTTAATGGCAAGGTTTTCTGAGGTCACTTACTCATCAGAGGCGTCTGTCTCCCATGTGCTCTGTTACTTTCAAGGGATGAGAGAAAAGACTGCGGAGGTCACTGGGAAGTCACGAAAACTGTGTGAATTTCACTCTGTTCCCAGCCCCCTAAAGCCCCTGCTAGAGACAGGATCTTAGTACATGATTGAATTTCAGTTTGTTCCTCTCCCTTTCAAAACCTTTATTTTGTATTATAAATTATTTTTCAAAGCACACTAAAAGTATTATGAAAAATATTTATTATTTCAAATTCATGAAAGATATTATTTTGAATGAAAAAGAGGAAATGGAAATATGAAAGAAAAAATTGATCAATGTATATATTAAAAGTTAAAATTTTATATCAAAAATAGTACTGTAAATTATAAAATATCTACTAGGAATATAGAAAAAAGGCTCTTACAAATCAATAGGAAATATGCAAGCATACTAAAAAAAAATAGGATGAACAAAGAACATAGAGAGGCAATGCACACACCAGAAAAGAAATACAAATGGCAAAAAATAATTGAAAAATGTGTTCAATTTTACTACTAATCAAAGAATAAAAAAATCAAAAGCAAACACCTTGTCTTTTTATGTTACAGTGTCCATTCATTTTATATAGATTGGCAAAGATTGAGTGTTTAACAAAAGCTCAGTGTTGGAGGGGAAGCGAGGAATTGGGCACTCATGCTTCATTGGTTTGGCATACTTATTATGTAAGACAATATGATGATTCATTCATTCAGTGCATACTTTATGATGTATAAATGAATTAAAATGTAAAATGAGCATACTCTTTTACAGCATTTGAACATCTCTGAATAGAGCCTAAGGAGATAAGAGAATGATAAGGAAAAATATATGCATAAGAATTTTCCCTGTAACTAATTACAAATAATAAGAGCACAGCAAATTACAATATATAATAATGCATAGTTTTAAATGAACAAGGCATTTATGTATAAAATGTTAAAGCTTTGTTGAAAATATTTTAAAATATCTAAGTAGAAATCTATAGCATATGTTCATGGTATATGGAAAGAAAAAGTAAATATTAAGATGAAAATCCTCACCCTCTCCCCATGGTATTATATGAGTTTAATACAATGCCGGTCAAAACTCCAATAGCACACTTTGCTTTGCTTTGTTTTGTCTTGGCTGTGTGGCACGTGACAAGTTTACCCTAAAAATTATACAGAACAAACACTTGGGGTAATGAATGCTTGCCATAGAGTAAGTACTTAATAAATACTTATTATTTTACATACACTATGGTGACTTTCTATTTTGTTTTGTTTACATGAGTTTTGCTTTCTATTCTGTTTTGTTTATATCATTTTTAACTTTATTTTATGCGATCAGTTTATCAAAATTTCCCTTAAACATTTCTTCTGTTTTTCTTATACACCAAATTTGTTTCCATTATGAGTCTATCTTTGTGATTCAATTTAAACATTTAGCTCTTTAATCTACATGAAGCTCATTTCATTATAGAATATGATATGTTGTTGTGTGTGTCTTTCCAGTTCTATAGGACAGGCACCAACAAACACCATCCCAGGAGTCCAGTCTCAAACCCTTGGTGCAGTGACAGTGAACAGCAGAGAGGCGTGGTGGTGACTTAGACCAACTGTGACAAGTATCTTGAAAAATGCACTTAACCTCACTGGGCCTCAATTTCTGCTTTTGTAAACTGGGGGCTAAAAATGGGCCTGCTCCTAGCATAGCATAAAGTGAGCAATAGGCTAACACAGTACCTGACATATTGGAATTGCTCCATCATTGACAGGACAATGTTCCCAGTCATCAGAATGCAGGACAATGCCAGAGTAAGAGCGTTTCTCAGGGACGCCCCAAGCTAGCTGAAGAGATTGGTCCAGGACAGTGAAGGAGAGTGATGTCTCTCCCACCCAAGCATCCATCTGATATAAAAACTGCTGTTTCAAATTTTAACCCTGCTATTTCTGGCTTCTGTAAATGCTTGCTGGCTTAAATAATAAGGAAAAGAAGACTAGCCCCATTTCAGAGAGGCCATTAAACCTTCTCCAGATGAAGTTCTCAGTGCTGGCGTCAGGCCAAGCCTTTGGTCAAGGTCTCAAAGCGCCAGCACATAGGGGCTCTTTAAGAACTTGCAAAGGGGACCGGAACAGAACCCCATATTTGGGAGACAAAGAGGGTAAGATGGTATAAATACAGGAAACTTCCTGTGTGATTTTGCCCAGAATTTCAGAGACATTTTCCTCTGGGCCCGTGTGTAATAATAATAAATGTAACTCCATCTCTCTAAACGTTGCTTGGTTCTTCTCCGGTTTTGCTGTAACACCGCTGGTCTGACTGCCTAAGGCTGGGAGGAGGGTAGTCAGAGAGGGCATTCTGGACCCACTCCTTCTGTGGGACAGTGTGGCGATCCCAGCCTCAAACTGCATGAGAATTGTGGAGCATGTCCTGTGCGTAAGCAGGAGGGTGCCCGCATATGGGAAGCAGAGGAAAAATGAAGTTCAGCCACTACTGCTGGACACCGGTTTCTGGACTCATCGGAGAGGCAGGAGAAGGAAAGACTAACAGAGACCCTGCAGAAGTTTGTTTCCTTGTTTTTGAAGAGCTTTTGGCCTTGAAGCATCTGTCAGGTCCCATCTAAGTATCTCTGGCTCTTAGAACTTAGAAAGAGCCAGAAAGAGGAAGAGATCATGTGATCTCTTCTAGAGAAAGTATTGTGTTTCTACCTTCCCAGGAGGAGCCCCATCCTAAGTTGAAGCAGTTTTCCCTGCCTGAGGGAAGCCACGGGAATAGAGGAAGCCCCCAGAAAGCCCCCAGTATGGTGCGATAGCCTATCCCCTGAACTTAGGAAGTCATTCACCTGAGGCCTGAAATTCTGCCTCTGACCTTTAATGTCCTTGGTCCTAACATGGAAACACCTAGTATTACAGGTATTATAATTTATAAGGATTCCAAGTCAGATGGGAAAAGAGGAAACACATCTTGGGCAGTCCCAAGAGAAAAAAGAGAAGTTATATTACAAGGAGAGAGGACAGCCTGAGAATATTATCACTGAAGAACTGTAGTGTTAAAGTGGGCATGAAAGTAGAAGCATTAGGGCAGCTCCCTGGAAAAAAAGTAGAGGCTGATTTACATCCATCCAGAATCGAAACCTGCAGTCACCTCATTGGAAGGACCACCAGAAGTACAGAGGCAATTTCATCTCTCACAGACCTTGTTTCCAAGCTCTTAACACTCTTAAATGAAGATTGTGTGTATGTGTCTATAATTTGTGATTCTGATTGTACTCTGTGACAATAGGAACTGTTTGAGGTCCATCTGCAGAAGTGACCTTGAAATTTTATTTGTAATGTAGCCGCCTACATTTTTTGAAGTATGAGTTATGTGGGGTCATTTTATAATTTTGGCTGAAGGGGGAGCATGGTGAAATTGTTTGAGAGAAGAGGAAGAGAGCAAGGGTATCAGGAAGGAGGAGTTATGGCTGAGTAGGACAACAGGTACCCTGCCTGCTTCTGGGTACTGATAATTAGGTTTTTGTTACTCCACTTCAAGCCCACTCTTCAACGTCTGGCTTTTGGATGTTAGTTAGGGTTGTCACTCTGCAAACCACCTTCCTCCTTTGCCAGCTGGCTTCCTGTAGTCTCTGCCAACAGGGGGAGCTATAAAGAGATGAAAGGTCAGGCAGAGGGACAAGGGCCAGACTCCCTGCTGCCTGCTCCTTGTTAGTTTCCTGTATCTCTCCAGGTGCTCCCAACCTTACCTCCTGCCCCAGCCATGGCCATTTGTTCCAGTAACATGAGTGGGTTCCAGGGTGCAATGTTCCCGGTTCTCACAGAGCCAGCCTTGTGCCCCTTACAGACCTGAGGACACCACCAGGGGGCACCTGCTCCTCAGAGGGTCCAACCACTAGGGCCTCTCATCTGAGCTCAAGGATCCCTGCATCAGTGAGCAGGGCCCCCTCCTCAGAGGCCAGAGTTTTAATTTCATGGGACCCCACCTCCAAGTTTCTGAGTTTTAATAATTCCAGCATCTCTCCCTGTCTCTCCCATTTATAGGAGTGGTAGTAGTTAAAGTTACTACCTCCATGAACACTTATCAACCCAGACGTGTCTTTTCAGTTCTCCAACACCAAGTCAGCAATTTTTTGGATACTGTTCTTGTTAAAGGAAATCCCGTAATTTTCATTTCCTGACCTTCAATGGTAGAGGGACTGGTTTCAGCTCTAATGACCGGCAGAAGTGGAAGGAATTGTGTTCGTGGGGACTCTCAGAGTCTTGAAAGCAAGCAATTCTGGTTCAGGGCCCAGGTGGCCAGGAGAGACAGAACCGAGACCAGACATGTTCACCTTTCCCAGAAAGTGGATAATAAGAGACAACAGTGGAGAACAAGTTGGGGAGCAGACTGTTTTATTGTTTCCCTTCAAGAAGGGGCCAGCCAAAGAAATAATCTGGGGTTCCCAGGGCAAGCTGCAAAGGTGGGATCAGAGGTCGGGAGATGAGATGTTCGAAGAGGACACAGATTTCTGGATTCCCAGTCAGAAGAATCTTCCAGAACAGAACTTGAAATCTTCACTAAAATGTCTCAGCAACACAGGCAGGCCCAAGGAAGATGGTCTTGCCCCTTTAGTGCCTCTGATGCTGCTCTTCTTGGCTCAGGGTCCACTTTAGCAGCAGCCTCCAGAGGACTGGCCACAGCCCCCTCCATAGCTGGAGCCCCCTCCACAGCAGCCTCCAGAGGACTGACCATAGCCCCCTCCATAGCTGGAGCCCCCTCCACAGCAGCCTCCGGAGGACTGACCATAGCCCCCTCCATAGCTGGAGCCCCCTCCACAGCAGCCTCCAGAGGACTGACCATAGCCCCCTCCATAGCTGGAGCCCCCTCCGCAGCAGCCTCCAGAGGACTGACCATAGCCCCCTCCATAGCTGGAGCCCCCTCCACAGCAGCCTCCAGAGGACTGACTACTGCTCCCTCCATAGCTGGAGCCCCCTCCGCAGCAGCCTCCAGAGGACTGACCATAGCCCCCTCCATAGCTGGAGCCCCCTCCACAGCAGCCTCCAGAGGACTGACTACTGCTCCCTCCATAGCTGGAGCCCCCTCCACAGCAGCCTCCTGAGGACTGACCACTGCTCCCTCCGCAGCAGCTGGAGCCCCCTCCAGAGCCCCCTCTGCAGCAGCTGGAGCCCCCTGAGCTGCAGCAGTCAGAGCGTCTGTGTCTGAAGAGGCGAGACCTGCGGGGCTTGTGGTGGCTCAGGCAGCAGCCACCACCCCCAGAGCTGCAGCAGCCACCACCCCCAGAGCTACAGCAGCCACCACCCCCAGAGCCACAGCAGCCCCCAGAGCTGACACTGCAGCAGGAAGAGACTGGGGGGCACTTGGGGGGACACTTTGGGGTGCAGCACTTGGGAGGGCACTTGGGGACACACTGCTGGCTCTGCTGGCAGGACATCTGGGCGGGCAGTCAGGTGGGCGTTCAGGAGCTGAGAGAGAGTCAGACAGCAAGTCAGTCCCACACCAGATTCCACCCCTGCTCCTTCTTGTCCTTTTAACTGATGTTCTAGCTCTTTGACTTTGGAAGTTGTGAGACCAGACATAGGAAAACCATCTCTGACATTTTTATCAGGGTTATTAGTTTATCATGAGTCTCAAACCTCATTTGGATGGTTGGCATACAAAATCATCTCCAAATACATAAGGGAAGTTGATGCCTGTTAATATTTCCTAAGTGTTGGAGAGAAGACCAGGCAATAAATTTGCTTCAGGACAGCATTCATTCTACCATGTCATCAAGAATCTTGAAAATGTCCAATGTAGGATCATTTTAGAGCTAAAGCTTCTTGGAGAAAAAATCAAACTCATTCGCTCTGGAAAGGATTTCTGATATGGTTTGCTTTTGCAGAAGGCAAATTGAGAAAACTGTAACTGCAACGTGCCTTGGAGTCAGTTGTTCTCAATCAATTCAATTTATAAATGAAGAAACTTCATTTATAAGTGAATTCACTGGCTCAATGCCTTTCACTAGCATGTCACAGTTCTGTTCCCAGGTTCCCTGATTCTCAACCTCACACTCTGTCCTTTATAGTCCTCCTCCCCAGGCCTGCTCCCCAGGCCTGTCACAGGGCTTCACAGCTCATTGTTTCCCCTTCTCCCATCATGGATCTTCCTGGAGTCTAGACCGATCCACACTGGTTCTTTCTGTTAAGTACCAATGTCCTGAGCACATTGTTTCTACAACTGGTTATGGCTGTAGCTCCAAAATTATATTCCCACTCTACAACCCATTCTAGCATAATCTAATGATCAATGTTTTTATTCTCTAAAGACAAAGAAACACACCCAGCAACTGCAAGCAATTTGGTTTCTCTAAACCTCTAGCACCAGCCACACAAATCTTCCCGGTTACCTTGGTCTCTCTCACCCATGCACCCTCACTCTTCTCCTTCAGATTTTCTGGGCTCTCATCCTTGCCAACCACAACTCCAGTCCCCAAGGCCCTGCCCGCCGGCCCTCCTGCTCTGGTCTGGCCTCCCTCTATGATAGGCCCTGCTCCATTCCCAGTGGACACTTACCAGGTGCACAAGCAGCACAGGGTCAGTCACTACCTCAGGAGGGAGTGGATGGAGATGCTCCATCCCCACGGCCCTTTTATGCTGGGCTTGAGCTCTGCCCCAGTGAGTGAGACAGGGCCTGGGCATGAGAGGACCGCCTCCTGACATCCACATGGTCCTATGACAGGTGATGACTGGCCACACCTCCCAGCCTCCATCCATAGGGCCATAGGGCTCAGGGCAGTTGCCCCTGGCTAAAAAAAAAAAAATACCTGCTTAAAATGTGGGATTGTGGTGAATAGAAATGAACATCATTGTTCCCCTGTTGCCTTATGTTCTATGGAAAATGGTTCTCCACTTATGGACCCTGGTCACACAACTCCTTTCCTGCCACCCTAGATATTAATTTTCCATCTGGACTTTGGATCTTTTTTGCAGGATCTACAAATTAATTAAGATGGCAAAAAGGAAATAGCAAGTAATATGCAGCACTTGGCAACATTTGGGAGATAGATACATAGATAGATAGAGAAATAGGTGCCCATATGGATTTTTAATGGACAGTGGGATTTTTTAAAGCCACATATACCTTTTAAAGTAGTTGGATCTTGTTCAAACTAACTGATATGTTTCCCTCCTATATACCTCAATGAGTTTTTGCTTCATGAATGTAGATCCAGAATGAGTGACTAAAGCTGGGCATATTGCCCTAAATTATAACCTGAAAATAATTTACAGTCTTCTGTGGCAAAACTGAAGGGGTGAGGTAAAATAAAAATGGGAAAGGTTAAGAGAAGACAATGGCTTATTTTAGTGGTCATAACGAGTGGGTTCAAGTGGTGTCACTGATATACTTAAGAACAGACATATTGATTATTCAAATTTAAATTGTTTGCATTGTTGCAATATAAATTCCCCACATTTCCCATGCTCAGAAATATGGCTGAGAACAGATTGGTTCCAGATTGTGGGGAGACTGTTGTCATGGCCCATCACTGGGTTTTATTGAAAGTTCACCAGAAATCCACTGAAGGTCTTAATTTAACTTTATTATTATTACTTGCATGTGTGTCATTTTAGCAGGGTCAGGATAATTACATTAGTGTTGGATCCTAATATGGAAGGAGACTGTGTGTGGGAAACCGTGGGATAGAATATAACAGCAGTCGGCAATAGGATGAGATAATACTATCACCACTAATCCTCCAAATGTCTCTATAGACCTGCAATCCCTTATTCACAATCTCCATTTCCAAAGACCTCTGAAAACAGAGGTTCTTGTCCAGTTGTTGACAGTGAGGTCTCTTTATCTTACTGTGGATATTCATATGTTCTGTTGTAGATATATTATTGGTTTCCCCAAGGGGTAGGAGTCCTGAGCTATGGGGTGTGGGGAATGTCGACTGCACACCAGATGTGGTAGACTCCTTGGTATGAATTCTTTAGTGTTGAGATTGGACATGGCCTGCACTGAAGTATACCTGTAGCATTGTTAATAAATTCTATTCACCATACTGTTGAAACTGAATCCAAGGTTCAGCTTCCTGCCACCACAAAAGCCAAACTCATGAGACAGGTATTGGTGAAGAAGGAAAGAAGTTTATTCAAGTGCCAATCACCTGAGAAGATGGGGGACTCTCATCCCAAAGCCCATCTTAGCATCATAGTGCAGACAGGTGTTTTTATAGGGAGGGAGAAGGAAAGCAGAACAAAAAGATCAGAGGAACAGGCTGTGGACATGCAGGCAGTGTCCTTGCTGGTCCCCAAAGGGATCTTTAATGTCAGCATATTGGCACTGGTCAGTGCTGGCCAAATTCCTGCAGTTGGGTGATCTGCACCAACCAAAGTCATGGTCAAGGCCATTTCTTGTCCAAGGAAAGCTGGCACTGCTGATGCCTGCAATATGTTTATAAGGAAACTGTCAGTATGTAAGTTCCTTTTATCAATTTGCTAGTACATTTTATCCTAATTTCATTTCTTGGTTAGTCAGAATAGTATAAAGTTTGTATTCCCGGTTACACTGTCCTCCTTTTAAAAAAAAGAAAAGTTTTGAATTTCTTATGGCACCAAGGGTTTCAGATAAGGGATTATCGTCTCTGGTTTATAAATATTCTTAGGTCACCAGTGGAACACAGAACTCAAACATTTTTCAGTGACATCAATTTATCTCTAATTGTCACTGCTTTGCTAGGGCCTTGCTGTACCAGTCTGTCTACCAAAACTCACAGTTAAGCAAGCCTCGGGTCCTCCCGTCTTTAACTGACACCTCAAGATTTTCCCTACTCAATCACACTATCCACCTTAATTCGTAATTCATTCTTAGATGGTGTGTTTTCTTTACTCACTCTCAATTACACCATTGTATTCGGTGGAGGACCCAAAAGAACAAAAGCGTGGGCATGCTTATTGCAGGTCCTCCTAGGGTCTTTGTGCATTTTCCTCTCTTTTGTTGGGGCCCAAGACAAAATATATCCCATCTATCCCACAATGGCATATTGATTAGCTTGCATTAAACTAATAGGCCCGCGGCCAGTGCCAGAAGGGTACCGTGACCCTCCCTTGTCTCCCTGAATGCAGGAAATATATCTCCCATGTGGAAGATGTCCTTCCACATCCTGGAAGACACCCCCTTATTTCTAGAGAGAAACAACTCAGAGCGAAGAGTCTGTGTCATCAAGTTTTACTGCCTCTTTTCTAATTTACTACTTTGTTTCAATTCCTCACTAATGAAGATCCAAACCTTCCTTTCTAAGGAGCACTACTATTTTTTTTTCCTTGTCAGTTTCTCACAAATGTATTGTTTCTTTGTCTAAAACATACAGAGGTGCCTGGTTCAAACTTTTCTTTGAGCCTCCTTTCCTATGAAATTGTTTTTTCTCCTGTTAATGCAATCCTGTGTTACTTCTGTTATTAGTCCAGTCAGAAGAACTCAAGAAGGGTAAGGGGGGAGGGGGGCGGGGTTCTCCCCCTTCCAACACTGCTTTTGCCTATAAACCCTATTAACTGATCGTCAGTACAAATTTCTTCTGTTTGTGTTATAATGTCCTGTGTTAGGAGTTTTCAAGACAATGGAAATTCCTGATTATAATTTTTTCAGGTTGCCATGGGCATTCCTGTGCAGAGTTAGAAAGAGAGTATTTTGAGTTATTGGGTCAGTTTGCCAAATTATTATAATAAAGAGTCATGGATAACCTATTAGTCATAATAGCCGAGATCTTCCATAATCAGCACTCAGGCCCTTCAAGAGAAAAGTAAGTTCACATAGATCCTTAAAGCTGGAATTCCTTGGCTGTGTTTACCTGTGCTCCTGCCTTACTTTCTAGAGCATTTTTTTATTGCTCAAGGGTCAGGATCTCTGTTGGATTGGGAGTGCCCTGAGGTCGAGCTCTGATTGTCTTTCCTCTAACTCAGTGGGTGTCAGTGTGGGTGGATTTGGTACCTCCCACCCGCAGGGGGAGCATTTGACAATGGAGACACAGTAGGCCTCATAGCTAAGGGGGAGTGGGCTGTGCTTAGGCCAGGGATACTAATAACACCCCGCATTGCAACAAGATAGTGCTCCCAGAACAAAGAATTATCCAGCCCAAAATGTCACTAGTGCTGAGAGTGAGAAACCCTGCTTTGCTATAGGAGGCTTAAGACTGTACTCATTGGAAACAGTATTTCTGATCGAACCAAACGAACCAAACAAACCAAACAACCCTCTGAATAATGCTGATGAGATGCTATGGAAATAACTGCTTAATTAAATGATTGCTCAATCCAGCCTTTTCTAAGCTGGGTCAAGTCAGGTCTTGTAAAGATTAAGGGCCCAACCCAATTTAAGCCTAAAAGGTATTTCTGATCGAGAGCCTTCCTCCCTGGTACTTCCTGTCCCTCTGGCTGACCCAAGGAGCCATGCCCAATGGCAAACTGGATAGGTGGCATCCATAGCAATGACCATTTGTGATCGCTGCTCACCTCACTATCCTTGAACCCAACATTAATCCTGGTATCTGAGTTTCTGGTCCCCAAATCTTATAATCCTCTAGATTCAGCATTTTGCCTGAACCATTTTCCTCACCAATCACCCCATCTGTTTCCTGTCTGCCATTCCTTGTCCCTTGTTCCTTGTCCCTTCACTCCTTCAATTCCTCCTCCTTCATGCCTCTTGACTTGCCCCAGATGACTACACTTATTCCTATTTGTTCCTCCCTTCCACTCATCCGGCCTCTGCTTGGGCCTCAACTTGACCTGCCTCTGTGGCCCAACCAACTCATCAAATGGACAGTTCCCCAGGACCCATCATCATCTTTTTCATCCACTTCTTCCCTTGGAGATGAGGACCTCACTATCAAAAGCAAATATACTTTTAGTGTTTTATAATACACAAAGTGTTTTTAAATAACTTACCTAATTTCATCCTCAATGTGGCCCAGGCAGGTATTGACCTTTAAACAACACAGGGACCAGGAAGAATGGTCAAGTCAGGAGGAAATACTTCACCTGGGGCTGTCTGTCATTGTGTCCATTATGTTGACATTATACCTGCTGTTAACTCTACCAGAACACTCTCCTCTTTCCTCCCATTTATCTTTCATATCTGTGTTTGTAGTTGCCTTCTCTAGGCACCTGACCCACTCCAGTGTCTTTTCTATGGGCTGCCATGATACCATATGCCTCCCAGGTGGAAACTCTCACAAGCTCTGTCTCTCAGACTTCATGTTAGCAACACAGTGCCTGCCTTGCTCACCATTGTATTTCCAGGACCAAGTATACCCAGTTCCCGGTAGATTGTCAAATAAATGGATGTGTTAATACAAGTTGGTAAGTGGTTTTCTTCCTGACCAATATTATACTAGAGAACGAGGGAAGCTGTTAACCTAGCTCAGGGCTCCTATGATAAGATGTGGTAAGGAACATGATGGGTGGCTTTGGCACAGCTTTAGTTATCCCTAGGCTTCTAGGTACTTCTAGTTTAATCTTCTAGGTCAGGAAGCTTCCTCTTTTGGAGGAATGAGTTTGATGGCCCTTGGGTTTGATGGTGATGGGGAAGCACATGGATCATCATGCATCACCCTGTTTTCCCAACTAGTTTCAGGCCACAGGCATGTGGATCCTCTGGGATGTCCAACCATGCCAGAAATCAGGAGTATGTTAGTCTTGTTAGAAGTCTTGGTCACCACCTGACTATTCTTCCATGCATCAGTGAAATATCCACATATGCGCGGCCTGTCTTCTGGTTACCTATCTATTCAATTGTAAAGAGCTGAGCTATTTTCTTATGCATGACAGTTCTATTTGCTTGTTCATCAGGACTCTAGTTTGTAGGACAAACTATGGGATGTGGAATTTCTCCCCCTTAATGTTTGGGTAGTGCCTAAATAAAGGAAAGATATGCCAAAATGAGGCCCTCCATTCTCCCAGTAAAAAATATCTGTAACATGTACCAGACAACCCCTCTACATCAGCCACGCACAAGCACCCCATTCTGGGTACTTTTGGTGGCCTTAGGGCTGAGAATTTAACTGAGAAAAAGAAGAGCCTCCTTGATCTTGAGGTACCTCTAGACTAAAGAGTAGAAAAATTTGACTTCACACAGATAATTACATAAAACCTCCCACAAAAACAGTTACAGACCAGCTCCATTTTGCCACAACATCCTACACATGCCGTAGCCACTGCGTACAAGTGCCAACTCTCCTTTAGATCTTGAGCAAGCTCACACACCTAGGTATTCGCTATAGCAATGGTTTCTACCTCCAGCTGATCATAATAATTTTCAAATGGATTCCCGATTCTCTCTCTGGAAATTCAAATTAAATAGGTCTAGGATCACTTTTGGGGATTAGATGTCTTTAAGTGGGTTCCCAGGTCGTTTCACCCTAGCCTAGTGCCATGACAAAGAGGAAGGAACCTCTGAGAACATCTAGAGCAATTCCCTCATTCTACAGTGAGGATGCTAATCCCAGAAAGGGAAGTTTAGAAAGAGAGAAAAAATAGAGAAACACAATTCCAAGATAGGAAGCATGATATTAATCTCTCTTACAATCACTTGGGCTTGGCCTTCATCTCTGGAAGCCAGGCCCTCCTTTCTGGCATAGTGGAATGTCAGGTGTGAGAGTCTGGCCACCTCTGTCTCACACTCTGTGACTTTGCCAATGCATTGACACTTCTGGGCAACAGTCCGGCAAACTGAAATGAAAACAATACTATACAACCTGCGTATAGCCTCAGATTACTGTGAGATTCACAGGGGAGTCTCTCACAGATCTTTGAGCACCTTTAAAGAACTTTATAAATGGTATTTTTTTTAATGTAATTTTGAATCCTCAGCCTTGGTCCTAGGGCAGGGGTGGGCAACCTTTTTTGTGAGTGCGTGCCAAAACCAGCAAAATCTCTGACTCAAAATTCTTCTGCGTGCCAACCCTAATTTTTTGAGAACATGTTACGCCTACTTGATATCTCTTAAGGTGTACCTATGTGAAGAACCTTGAAGAAATAATAAAATTCATTCGAGCGACAAAAACACAGTATATGATGATGAAAAATACATTTATTTTTTAATGTATACATGTACACTGATAGTCCCACAGAAAACCTTATGACTCCGTTTGATATTATCAGTGGGACTTTTGCTGCTGCATCAGGTTTATATTTCGTGACCTTCAGAGATATGCACGAGCTATGCAGAGATATGCATCCGTCAGACTACTCTTATTATGACACTTAACAAAATTCATCACTGAGAACAAAGATTCACAAGTGTATGCGGATGAAACCAAAACACTGGTCGGATCTAGGAAGGCAGGCAGAGGCATAGAAATTGCTCTTCCCCTCTCTCGTCAATCCATGTCTATGGTCTTTAAGGTAACTTGTTATGTAAAATTATTAATTGATCTAAGATGCACCTACACTGAATTTATCTGAAAAATAAAAAAGTCTATATTAAGAAAAAAATTGTAAATGGAAGATTATAAGAGAGGGTTTCACGTGCCAGCAAAAGTTACTGGCGTGCCATGTTTGGCACGCATGCCAGGGATTGCCCACCCCTGTCCTAGGGACTCTAACTTTTGTTCAAATCTTGACAAAGAAGGAAAAGGCAGAGAGTGAGCTGGAGGCAGGTGGTCAGTAAAGGGGTAGTGTGTGGGGATGGAAAGGATAACGGAAGGGTCACCCAAAGTCAGTGTTGAAGGACTGTAGGGTATCGTAAATGATGCTCCTGAGGTCACAGTTCCCATTGCCAAATGCATTTTAAACCATCCCCCAGCTTTTAAAGCATGCAGACAGAAACAGTAGACACATGGGCTCACACAAAGAAACATGCAAAGCCCACAAAAGGACATGCAGACACACACACTCCTGGGCACGATTTCCTCTGAACTGCTACAAATAGGCTGTAACTTTTCTCTGTGGGCCTGTCTGGAGGCTCAGAGCTGGACACTGTCAGAGGAAGTAGAACTTTGAGGCCAACTCGGACTAATCCCAGGAGAGACGAGTGTGGGCCCTGAGCTTCTCTGGCCAAGGAGATGGCACTGAGGCTGGCTGCTGCACAGCCCCGGCCTGTGAGGAGCTCCAGGCCACCCGGGGCTCCCTGGCTCACCCAGCCTGACTCACCTAGGCTCTGTATCAGTAGGTCTGGGGTGACACATTTGTATTTCTCACAAGGCCCTAGGTCAGTGGTTCTCAGCCTTCTGGCCCTTTAAATACAGTTCCTCATGTTGTGACCCAAACATAAAACTATTTTCGTTGCTACTTCCTAACTGTAACGTTGCTACTGTTATGAATCGCAATGTAAATATCTGATATGCAGGACGGTCTTAGGTGACCCCTGTGAAAGGGTCATTCGACCGCCAAAGGGGTCGCGACCCACAGGTTGAGAACCGCTGCCCTAGGTGATGCTGACGCTGATGCTGCTGGTCCAGGTACCACACTTTGAGCACCAGTGTGCAGGCTGCAAGCTATCAGAGCAAACAAGGGTTCTGTCTGTCCCTTTTCCCAGCGCCTTCCTAGCAAGTAAGCAGTGTCTATTCATCAATCAATCAATAAACTAATGGATTTCACAGGAAGAGCCTCAATTTTTCTTTATATAACACAGGTAGTCTCTCATGTCCTCCACCATTGATATTGCATTACTAGATCCCTGGGGCAAGGGAAAGACATACTCAGAGCCAGGCCCTGTATTTGTGGTGCCCCCTATGGTGCTGGAACTGTGGGGCCCTCGGGGGTTGTGGCCCTTGAGGAGGAAGTCACTGGATCAGACCTTCAGGACCCAGACCAGAGCTGCCTCCCTTTCATCTTGGCGGCCTCAGGTGCTCTCTCCCTCTGGGGAAGGGATCTCCTCGGGAACATTAGTTCCCCAGCCAGTACTTGTCATCTGAAGGGAGTGTAAGGAAGCGACACCCCTGGCTCTCCTGCCCCTCCAAGCCCCACCTTCATGCTGCCAAGACCAACATGCCTAATGAGATTTGGGAACAATAGAGGAATGAAGAGTCAGCCTCAGATGCTCCCTTTTCTAGTATGTCCCCAAAACACAGCAGATGGTTTATTCTGAAATACAGAAGAGTGTATCCTGTGCAGAGTATCCCAGACAGCCTAGCGGGGATCCCTTCTCTCTGCCTCTGACTCCATAGAGGTCACAGGGCAGTGACTACCGCCCCAGAGCACAGCCGGGTGACCTGACCAATTCAGCTTGAAGATCTTTACCCCTAGACTAAGGAGCAAGAGCTATCTTCCTAGATTCCTCATTCCTTGTGTTTTTTCATCCATCCTTTCTCAGCAGGGGCCAGGGACACTGAGGGGACACAGAAAACCCACAAAGCAGACCACCTGGTCTAGTCTAAGGAAAGTTCAGCCATGGGTAACAATAAACCCAAGAAGAAAAACAACAAAGAAAAGAAAAAGAAAAGTTTATCCCAGGGAGTCAGGATCCGAGTGTAGCATCACCTTTATTGTTACATGGAGTCTTGTCCCAGGCTTGGGGTTGCCCATCAGGACAGATCATGGCTCAAGCTGCCAACCAACAAACCTTGATGAGTAGCCGCCTGCCCTAGGAGAAGCAAGGAACTTTAGGGATATTCTGACTCCACTCAGATGGGAGTTTACAATCTAGCTGGGCAGGTAAGACAGACAACAGACACACCTGAAAAATAAAATAGTTCAAGAGATGTTGCAAGGCACTTGCCAAATGGATGGTGTGGATGATGCAGTACGTTCTAGGAAGTCAGCGCAGGCTTCTGAGAGTAGGAACGAGCAGAAAAGGCTCCAAGGAAGAGGTCTTGAAAGATGGGTTGGGTTTCAGATACTGGGAGTAGCGGAGAAGTGGTCCAGGGGGAAATGGACAGAGGCTTGGAGGCAGGGATGGCTATGGTATGTCCTGGGGAACACCCAAGATGTGCCCTGGTTGTGAGACTGGTCTGGCTGGAAAAGAGGATGCTTATGGGAGAGGAGTCTGAGGTGAGGCTGCAGAGGTGTCTGAGATGCAGGTGTGGGTCCTGTGATGACATGCAAAGGACATCGCCTCTGCAGCAGGGAGCCTCGGACTACCCTTGGAGCATTGCAAACAAGAGCGCAGAAATGGTGACTGCTGGGAAAGGAGGAGCCGCGTTGTCAGGGCAGGAGGCAGAGATGTTTCTGCGCGCTTCCTTTAAAAGTAGGCGCTCTTTACTCCAGCATAGTACCCGCCTTTCACTCCAACAGAGGCACCTCCTTGGTCTCCACAACCGCCCAGACCCCGTGGCTCTGGGAACACATCACAAGGTCCATGGCTAGCATCACCCTCTCCGCACTGTGTATAAGCAGCTGGGCCGCAGCTGGGGGCCTCCATGTCTAGGCGGCCTGGGCGGGACTCATGACAGCCGAGGTCTCCGGAGCCCGGCATTGGATTTGGGCCTGAGCAGGGGCTGGGGCAGCGCTGAGGCTGCACACAGGGCTCTGGGCTTGAGCAGCGTGGCGGGAGGGGAATTGGCTCCCGACAAGGCTCTGGAAACTCACACCGCGTTGGGCCAGATCGTGTGGCTGGACGCGGGGCTGGACTTGGTTCCGGACACAGGCAGGGCTCGGGAAAGCACGGCGCTGGGCGTGATGGACGCGGGGCCGGACGTGGGCACCGCGGCAGTGACAGCTCTGGACATTGGTCAAAACTCCGGGGTGGGCAGAAGCTTGGGAGTGGACGCGGCTCGGCACGTGGTCTCAGCTCCGGGCAGGAGGTCCCCCAGGAGGGTCGTGGAGCACAACTCTCAGAGCAGCGTCCTATGGGAGGGATCTGAACGGGACACCTCTGCGGGGGCACCTGCCTGGGGCAGGAGGGCGAGGAAATCTCTATGCGGCACCTGGGCCCACGCCTCTGAGCGCAGCTGGAAGTGGGGCGTGGAGCACCGCCGCTGTGATAGATGGGCTCAGAGCGGCGGGGTGGGGTGCAGTAGTTGTAGGAACCCGAAGCACATCTTGATGGCATGCAGCTGCTGTAGTAGGGCTCGGAGCGCCGTGGAGGGGAGCAGCTGCGGTAAGAAGGCCGCATCTGGCGGGGTGGGGAGCAGCTGCGGTAGGAAGGCCGCATCTGGCGGGGTGGGGAGCAGCTGCGGTAAGAAGGCCGCATCATCTGGCGTGGAGGGAGGCATCTGCTGGTGCTCCTAGCGCGACGCTGCATGGGGAAGCCCCCATAAGAGCCCTGGCTCTGGCATGGGGGTGCATAAGTGCGATATGAAGCCCGGGACTGACGCTGGGAAGCGCAGCTGCCGAAGGAGCCCTGATATTGGCACTGGGTGGAGAATCTTCCTTGAGTCTGGCATGCTGAGGGGTACGCTACATACCTCTGGACAGGCTGGGGAGCTGGGTAGGGTACATAGGTTTGGACGGGGCATTCCACGTAGCGAGTTTCTGTATAACAAGCTGGAGCACATTCTACAAAGCAGGTCTGAACGGGGCAGGGGGCTCCACACTGCACGTAGCAAACCTCAGGCTGGCATGCAGCCTGGCTGATCACCTGCGTGGCCTGGGACGGGCCTGGAGCCTGACCCTTCACGTTGGCGGTCTGAGACTGGCCTGAAGCCTGGCTGCTCACCTGAATGGTCTGGGACTGGCAGGGAGCTTGGCACTTCACCTGGGAAACTTGAACTGGGCATGGTGCAGGGCACTCCATGATTTGCATCCCACAAGGGCCTTGAACTACCACCTGGCCCTGGGGAGAAGGGTACGGGGAGGGGAAAAAGGAGGAACCCTTCACACAGCACTGGGGGACTGGCAGGCAACACGGAATCTGTTGCTGGTCACACATGGTTCCGGTGCAGACGTGTGAGCAGGACCTGAAGGGTAGAAAGACCAGCTTTAAGAGGGTGAGATTTGGGGAGGAGGGCCCAAGACTAAGGGAAGACACCCTGCTTCCTCCCTGGCCTTTCTTCCCCAACCCTCGACCTTCGTTCCAGAATACTTGCTGAGTTGTCTGGACCCAAGATTACTCACTGTTGCCCAAGAAAGCTGCCTTGGATCTACTGAAAGACCTGACGGAGGACAGCTTCAAGGGCACAGCTTCAAGGGCACAGCCAGGGTTGCCGGTGTCTGGCCTCTTTCACTGGAGGCTGGGCATACCAGTGTCCAGCACAGGAGGGCGCTAACAACAGGAAGTTTCCCATCACCGCCTGGTTTCCTAAGTGGTGGGAGGGAGCTCTACAGAAGTGGAGGCCACCCATGCTCCCAGGCTGTCATCCAAAGTGGGGACTCCCCAACCATAGGAGCTTAAACTACTCAGACACATGTACTGTCCACACATGAAAAAAATGTGTATATAAGAACAAGCACTCAGGCACCATCTGTGCTCAAAGTATCCACTGGAGAGTAAAGAATTCAGTTAGTGATTGGGCAGCTCAGTCCCAATATAAAATGTTTGTTTCTCTATAGTCAATTCTTCTTAGGTGAATTAGTTTAAACTGGCCCTCATGGGCATCGGTAAAAGATGTATATACAACACACCAGCCTCGGAAAGGCTCACGACCAACATGACAACTTGCCCAGCCAGGTTGCTGTCCTTACTCACCTGCCAGCTTCAGAAAGGGGCACTCTGCAGCCCCTCTGAGAGGCAGGGTGGAATTACTTAAGAGGGGGTAACCCACAAAGTGCCAGGTTCCTAATTATGAGACTGACATTCAGCCACACTTAAAGCCCACACAGCAGGAGCATCACAAATGTGATGTGGGGGACACAGGCATACCACCCAACACAATACCCAGAGGGCAGTCCCCCCCACCCTCCCCAAGTCCAGCTGTTCAGGTACAGGCAGCCCAGTGACCAGCATGGCAGGGAGGCTGGTTTGATAGCTCACCCAACAAAACACTTCTCAATAAGCCCCTGAAATACTGAAAATACTTTTTGTGAAGGGCAAAGCCTTCTATTCTCCATGTATAGAGAATATCTAAACACACATGCCCTTGGGGAAGGTAACCCTTCTACACCCAACTCTGCTCACGGGGTGCAATTACTAATGCACCTTTTCTAGGGAGAGAGGTCCTGGAGAGAAAAAATGGTACCTGAGGATGAGACCAGGGTTATTGAAGGCAAATACGCTTACTTCAGTGCCCTATTTCTTCACACAGACTCCACAGATCCCCTTCTTTTGTCCCCTGAAAGTCCACCAGAGTGTTCTCCTCCGGCTGATAGACCAGTCCTCCTTTGCTCCGAGCTTCCCCCCTCACTATGTCTCACCCTATGAATCTGAACACCCCCTAAGCATTAGCTTCACCCAACCCCAAGACCCTGCCCCTAGACTTACCTTCTTCAAGGCAAGCAGTCATTCAGACTGAGGCATCTGGACAGAAGGCTGTCTTTATATAAAGGGTTCCGGGTCTGGCTTAGACCATGAGACAATTGGTTGGCATCTGCCTGGCTCATCACCCAGGTTGGCATTCCAGTAGCCAGTCCCCTCCCTGTGTGCCTGTCCTTACAGTCACCTACAGGGTGTGGGAGTGTCTCACCTCAGTGATGAAGCCTCTGGACTACAGAGGAGCAGATTCTTGTTCTCTTCCTCCTTTCTCACCCTGTCTGTTTCTCCCTCGCCCTTAGAAGAGCTGGTGGTGGGGATGAAGAGGGTTGACAAAGGGACCTGTTCTCCTGAATGATGACTCCAGGCCCCTACCTTCTTCCTTGTCTGACACTCTCACCAAATGGATATCAAAGAAAAGCTCCCTAACCGGAAGCAGTTAAAATCACCACAAAGGTACAGAATGAAGAGAACATTGGATTTGAGATGAATCTGACATCTCAGGTTAGCTACTTACAGTTGTGTGCCCTTTATAACTGACTTAAGTTTGACTCAATTATCTGCAAAATGGAAATATTAACTCTTCTTTGCTGAGCTATTGTGGGGATTAAGGCAACTATTTTATGCAAAAGCATCCAATCAATAATGATATTCACAATATCTAACATCCACTCAGAGTAACTGGGGACCAAGCAGCAGACATATCTGGACTGATGGCTGCCTGTGGTATCCCAGTCCTGGGCTGAACCACCTGATTTCATCACAGAAGGTGCATAGCTAATGCTATGGAGTCATCCTTCAAGAGAGCAGTGCAGTGTAGGACAGAAATAATACACTGGCATCTTGTGAGCCAGATGCAGCCAAGATGCATACCTTCTTATCTTTCGCCTAAATCATTTTTGCTCACATAGTTTTTTAAGTAACCATGGATATTTAAAAACTGAGAGTTTTGTTTTGTTTTTTAAGATTACAGACATCTAGTTTTCTCTCAAAATTAAAAGATCAGGCACAGGTGGGCCACCTGACTTCAACCTAATTAACATTTGCCCCTCTTAGGTAGCTCATATACTTTGATATTCTGTAATTCTCCATCTTTTTTATTACTGTATCCACAATGCAAGGCAAAGGGCAAACTTCCTTTTATTATTTTACCTGTATTCTTATTTTTCTTTGGTGAAATTGACATAATCCTTCCACCTGGATAACTTCATTTTTTTTATGTAACTGTTTAGCCCCTATCAGCATTTAAAATTCTAGCCACGCTTGTGAGCAGGGACTTTAGATTTATAGAAGTTTGGGGTTGAATCTGAGTGCTAGTACTTGCTAATGGGGTGAAAGCTCCTTAAACTTCATGAGCTTAGATTCCTTACTTATAAGACAGAAAGAAGAAAAATAAGGAGGACGAAGAGAAGGAAGGAAAGAAGAGAAGGAAAGAAAGAAGAATTAGAAAAGTCACAGGATTATTGTGTGAATTAAATGAAATAACTAGTCTAAAATTTTAGTTTTTAATTAGCCATTTAGCACTCTGGACTTTAGTTTCCTCTTGGAAAGATGGGTGTGGAAATGCTTCACCAAGTTCTCATGAAGATAGAATCAGATAATGGGTATGAAAGTGTTTTCGGACCTATGGTGCACATGGCAACTATAGCTATGAAATCTCTCCCATGAGGAAGTGACTTTAGAGTCCAAGTTCTGGATCTTATCACTCATTACAAAGAGGTGTCCAGATGACATTTCAAACTTGAGTAGGGTCAGAGACTTTCAAAATGCCAGAGCAACAAGGAATTACCTGGTCCCATTCTGTCATTCTCAAGATGAGGATAAGCCCAGAGAGGGAGAGTAACCTATGCGGAGACCTAAAGCTAATGACTGCCTTGGAGTGACCATATCTCAGGTAGCTCTAGTCGCAGACAAGGACTCTTCCCACTACTACAGAGAAGTTATTTCTCTGATCACATCATTTGCCACGGTGCTACAAACTTCAATAGCTCTGGGACTTGATCCTGGCTAATCATAAAAGCAGTGAAATAAGAAAGCTGAGAACATAGACAAGATGGCCCAACCAGAATGTGAATTACTGATCCTAATAGCTGTTTCTCTCCCACTCATCTCTTGATAGAATATGCACTTCTTGAAGGAGGAATCTCTATCTTATTCATCTTGGTATCTCCAGAGTCCTGACTTAATATGAATCTGTTGATTGATTGATTGATTGATTGATTGATAGATAGATAGATAGATAGATAAGTGGAAGGATGGTAGAAATTGGGCCTGGTTCACACTGGACAATGTGTTATTATTGTTCAATCCAAAGACCAAAGAGCACTACAACTCTTACTTCTTGCTTCTTACAAATATAAGTGGGACAAGGATGGGGAGAGGTAAATTCTGCAGTTGACAATGAGGCCAGGTAATAGAATTTTCAACCATATAATTTTAGAGCCCAGTCACCAAGCAAAAAAATAAAACATCTAACCCCTAACATTCTTCCTACTTTGATATGAAAGGTCCTAGAATTGGAAAATTGTCATTGGTTAAAAATGGAATTAGTACTGAGATTGTCTAAAGGTGGGGGTAGATATAGCGCGTTCTTTTGTTCTCCAGAGAGGTTTAAAACTCTTAGAAAAGGCATTCTTTATTTGGAGATGTCTTAAAACTAAATTGTCTCTTTGGATAAAACTTTAGTGTGGCCTTCTAATCTCTGAGCCTACTATATGTTTTATCACTGTCCCTGCTTTATCTCAAGTTTTCATAATCCCCTATATGGACTGGTGCAATAGTCTCCTCACAGTTTTCTCTGCCCCTTGTCTTTCCTTCTTCCATGTAACTTTTAAAATAGCCTCAAGACTGATCTTAAAAAAAATGACCCCAATCTTCAACACCCCACAAACATCAAAAAAATATATATCAAATAAAGCCATACATGGTGGTTTTCATTCTCTATGTGTATCTTGGTGTTCACTATGGCAGACCCTTGCAAATGTTATTTCCTCTTTCTGGAGCGTCCTTTCATCTCTCCTTTATGTATAGAACTATTGCTCATCAGTTGAAACAACTCCAATGTCATTTCTTTTGTAATGTTTCTTGACTCCCCAAAGCCATGACTCAATACTCTGTGTTCTGACAGCACTTTAGACACACCCCATCATCAGAGCTATCATGTGTTCTCTGATTATTTACATTCTTGTCTTCCACACAACCTATGAGTCCCTCCAGGAAAAGAAGCCTGTATCCCAGAAACAGGCACTGTTCCAGTGCATAGTTCTCATTTCACCTTGTTGATTAAGTAATTTAATTCCATGCATGCAAACATACACACACTCATGCATATTCATGCATACATATAAGTCTAACATGTGTATATATTTACACTGCATTTTATAAATTGATTGGTTTCATTATCTACTGAAATATAATAAATAGATATATGATAATATAAAGGCCAGATTAAAAGTCACAATAAGTAGCAAAAGACATAGAGGATTATAGATAAATAGACAGATAGATAAATAGATAGATAGATAAAAATATGTATTATGGTTATCTGCAGAGAGAGGTCATTACTTTTAGGGAGAAATATAAAGGCTATTTAGATAGAGGGGGCTGTTAGAAACAGGAGTGTAGGGTGAAATATAAATGGCTAGAAATATAATGATATAAACCTAGGAATATGTGATAATGTGGTGATTTACAAACGTGATATAAAGATATCAAGAGAGCTAAATATATAGTTATCTACAAAATTATAAAATACATATAATTATAATAAAATATAGAGCAAAAGATAAATATTAAGTTACAGATTTTTTTAAATACATAATGTAAATGGTACAAATTGGGGGTGGGATGGGTTGTGTGAAAGACACCTAGAGGTGCAGGGGTAGCAATGCATGTGGGCACATGAAAAAAAAAAGGTGGAGGCAACTTGAAAGCACACATAAATCTAGAGATGACTCAGTGAGCCCTGTTATCTCATTGTCAGTTGGCTAAGAATTTGACGTAGGTTAACTCTCTTAGTCTTTACAATAGTCCTGTGGGGGTACCTATTATTATCATTATGTTATAACTGAAAAAACAAAAGTTCAAAAAGGAAGTAAGTTTGTTGTAGGTCACAAGCTTAGAAATGGCAGAACCAGCATTCACAGCCAGGGTATCCAAAGGAAGAGGCCTTGGGGAGTAAGTATAAAATGAGATAGTTCCTTGAGTCATGGGTACACAGAGGTGCACTCTACGTTTCATCATACTCTGAGATCTTTTTCAGGCCTTATGAGCCTTTGGGGCCCTGGCTTGCTGAGTCTTAAAAGAATGTACTGGTGTCTTAGTGATGCCTTGATCCCGAGAGCTAGGTCATTAACATTTACCCTTTGTTTGCAAAGATGCATGTTTTCAATAGATGCAATCCGACTCTTCTTCCTTCGGATCATTCCACAGTCTGCTTTTCAGTTTAGTCCCCCTCATATCACTATAATAGCTGGAGGTACTAAAACTTGTCCCTGAAATGGAGGTGATATTTGTTATCTGAGGTTTTTTTAATCTTTCCATATAAATTCTTTTATATACATTTTTTACTGATTTTAGAGGGGGGGGGGAGGGAGAGGGATAGAGAGATAGAAACATCGATAAGAGGGAAGCATCATCGATCGGCTGCCTCCTGCATGCCCCCAACAGAAGATCAAGCCAGCAACCTAGGCATGTGCCCTGACTGGGAATTGAACCAGTGGCCTCTTGGTTCCTGGCTCAATGCTCAACCACTGAGCTA